CCTCCTCCTCCTCCTCCTCCTCCTCCTCCTCCTCCTCCTCCTCCTCCTCCTCCTCCTCCTCCTCCTCCTCCTCCCCCCCCTCTTCCCCCTCGTCTTCTAGTCGTCGTTCCTCTCCTCCAGACCTCTAGCACCTCGAAGGCCTCGAGGCGTGCGCCCCCAGAGGTCTGGCGCCCCCTCCCCGGCGGCGGGTGGTAGTGTCAAGTCGGGCCTGTCCCTCTGTAGGAGGAATCTTCAAACATTGTCAAAACATGCTCTGGGGACGATGTTGTTATTGTCTTTGGGCCATTTTTCATTAAACAAAGAAAATGCAAAAAATCGTAAATCGTCCAACATCCGCCCGTAGGGGGACATGCCCGACCTAATGGTAATGGAGGGGTCGGGGGCTTTGAGGCGGGGGTCAGTGCAAACGGGGGCCAGCCAGAGCGCCGGATCTCACAGGATCCTGCAGGGCCAGGGTCGCATTGACCCGGGCTTGGGCGCAGGATCCTGTAGGATCCTGCAAGGACTGACTGACCCCGGTCTGGATTGATCTGGGCCAGAAGATCCACGAGGGTTGACCCGCAGGGGGGTGGAGGGGAAAAACACACAGACACAATTCATCGTCGATCCCCAGATGCGGAAGTATGGAAAATATGGAAAGTTGGGAGGATGACGAAAATCCCCCAAACTATGAAAACATATTGGGAATATTGGTATTTGCGTGCATTTATTTGTGTGTCCCTGGGCCCCCTTAATGATGTGCGCGCCGCCTCCCCCAAGGGGGACGCGGGCACCGAAAAGTCTTATAGTATAGCGCAAATCGGGCGGATGGTAATGGGGGGTGACCCACACGGGGGGTGAAGGAACATGAACGTCTCTCAAGGGGCCATTTCGCGCCCCTTTTGAAGTTCCCTAAATGGGTCGTACAGGGCCCCTTTTCGGGCCCTTTTCTTCACCCCCCATGTGGGCCACCCCCCATTATAGCACCCGCCCGACCCTCGGGGCTCAAGAGACGGGGGCCGCTGCAAACGGGTGTTAGGGTCACTGACCTGGGTTTGGGTGCAACTAATACTATGTGCGCGCCGCCCCCCATGGGCGACGCTCGCGCCGAGAAGTCTCATAGTATGTGCGTCGTGGCGCGCGCTTTCTGGCCACACCGCTCGGGAATCGATAGTCTACAAGATGGATATACTACATGTTCGGGTTGGACACGCGCCTCCGATGATGACATGCATTACTAGTATCTCTTTTCGCGTCCCAACTGCCAACGGGGGCCAGGGTCACTGACGTGGGTTTGGGTGCAGAATTTTGCAATCTCCTGCAGCATCTCGCAGGATCCTGCAGGGAGCCTGACTGGCCCCAGGGTCTGCACTGGACTCCAAAGGGTGTGGTTTGCAAAGGGTGTGGTTTGCAACCAGCACCCTGGGGAACATCCTGTGGGGCACCTTCGGGGGCGTGCGGGGACCTCAATAGAGTTCTCCCGCGCCCCGAGGAGGCCTGACGAGGACAGTGTCGTGACCCCCAGGCCCCAACGGTGCCGATCTCAAACCACACCCCGGCGTAACCATGCCCTTTGCTCACCACCCACCAAACCACCCCAACCCAATCCGAAGGCTTCGATTTTCCCTCCATTTCAGTGTGGGGGGGGGTTGAGGAACATTGAAACCTTGCATACGAAACCCGCAGCCCCCCCAAACCGAAATTCGGGTCTTCGGGTTGGGTTTGGGTGGTCTGGTGGGTAGTCAATGTGCAGTCGCCGCAGTGGACCTCCCAGACGTCGTCGTGGGCTTGACGGCCCCGGAGCCCGGCCCGCCCTCCGTGTGCCGCTCGTCGGGGGCCCCCGGAGCTCTCCACAGGCCCATCAGGTGGTCCGGACGCCCGGCATGGATACGGAGAGAACGGGCACCATGCCCAGCAGGAGCTCCTGCTCATTTTGAGCAGGGTTCGCTGTCCACGCCGCCGCGGCTCGTGTCCCTTCGAGACAGGAGGCCGCCTGCCCGACGCCCGAAATGGATACGGAGAGAACGGGCACCATGCCCAGCAGGAGCTCCTGTTCATTTTGAGCAGGGTTCGCTGTCCACGCCGCCGCGGCTCGTGTCCCTTCGAGACAGGAGGCCGCCTGCCCAACAGCGGCCGCTGTTGGTTTGGGACAACCTTTGTTGTTGGGCATTGTACCCATTTTTTCCGTACCCTTTTCGGGCGTCAAAAGATGGGGTCCGAGCAGATGTAAATCGGGCGCGTCCCTCTACAGGGGGAATATTCAAATATGGTAAAGAGGAAATTGTCTGGGGACGATGTTTCTAATATGTTTTGTTTATTTTTGGGGGCATTTGTTAGAGTGTGTCTTACTTTTCGTTCGTGCCCGCCGCCCCCACGGGGGCCCCCTCAGAACTCGTCCTTTCCGCCCTCGTTCTCTGCCTCCTCTTCCTTCCTGCGTCAAGTCGGGCGTGTCCCTCTACAGGGGGAATGTTCAAACACCGTCGAAAATAGTACGGGGACGACTTTTTAGATATGTTGGGGCCATGTTGGAGCGTGTTTGACAATTCTTGAATATCGGTTTGACGTTTTTTTAATTTTCTTCCAACCCCCCTTTAGGCGGACATGCCCGACCTATTTCTTGCGGGACCACGGGGTGTTTGTCCTGGTGGCCCCGGCGGCCGCGGAAGCAGGTCCTTCCTCCCGTTGTTCGTCCCTTGTCGTCGCCGTGGCTGGACATCCCGAGGAGCACAAATTGGCGGCGCGCACCAGGGGGCAGGGGGAGGGGGGAAGGCTTCTTAGAAGGAGGCGGCTTCTTAGCAGGCTTCGGCCTTGTGTCTACAGAGAAGGCCCGCGCCTTCTGAGAAGCAGGGGGTGCTTCTCAGAAGCCGTCCTCCCTTCCCGCGACCCCCCTCTGCGCGCGGCCGAAGAAGGGCGGAATGGGACCAAGCAGGGCGACGCCGAGGGCGGCAGAGGCGGGGTCAGCTTCGGTCCGAGCAGTCCGAGTCAATATCGATATCGGCCAGCCCGACCCGACTTGATATCGGGCGGCGAGGTCTATACATATCCACTGCTCCCCGGCCAGGCCCATCCTGAGCTCACGAGCTGTGTATACGCCCTCCTCGCCAAGCCAGGAGGGCGTGGCGTATGCACCGCTGCTGGGTTCAGGCTGGGCCTGGCCAGGGAGCAGTGGATATGTATAGATCTCGCCGCCCTATGATATTCCCCGAAACAAGATGGAGCGGGCGTTTTTTGGGGGGCGGAGGGCAGCCGAGGGCGGCCGAGGCGGGGTCAACTCCGATCCGATCAGTCCGAGTCGAGATTCATATCGGCCAGCCCGATCCGACTCGATATGGAGCGTTCCAAAAAGACCTTGCCTTTGAGGATCGAAGGAGTTGCCATCTCTCCCCAGGCGGAAGGCCGCGGAAGGGCGGCGGAAGGCGGAGGAAGCAACACGAGGTCTCCTCCGCTGGCGGACGCAGGCGGAAGGCCGTCAGGAGGCGTGCGGAAGCAAACGTCGACCTCTCAAGGGATGACAACCTTTTTGGGTTCAGGGGTTCCCGAATCTTGCACACAAAAAAGAGAACGGACCTTGTCTTGAGACCTTCGGCCTCTGGGAGCACTCAACGGGCCCCAGGACCTCCAAAAAACGACATGGGATGACACCCCCCTGGGGAAGTTTTCCCTACCTCGGCGGGTCCACGCATCCCTCGGCCGGCCCGAGCCGCTTCGACTCCGACAACTTCCGGCGATCCGAGGCGGCCCGGTGCCTGCCTGGCGCTGCCGATGCGGTGCCGACGCCGTGCCGACGCAGCCCGCTCCGACGCAGTCCTCCGGCTCGATGCCCCGCTCCGAGCTCGCGAGTCGACACCGACGGAGCCCGGTCGCCGGCGGCGGAACGCCGCCGAGGGCCGCCGAGGGCCGCCCGAGGGCCGATGGCCCCTGCCGGCGGCGGCCAGGAGCGCGCCGCGGGCGCGGCGGCGGCGGCCGAGGCGGGGGCCGCCGCGCCGCCGCGGTGGGGCCGCGATGCGTCAGAGGCCCGAGTCTGACGTCGGGCACGCCCCTCTGCAGGAGGAAGATGCAGAGCTAGTGCAGAAACAGCCTCTGGGGGCGATTCGTCGATCCTTTCTGAGCATTTTTTAGTGTTCGTGTTTTTTTTTTTCCCGTCCAAAATCCGCCTGCAGGGGGACATGCCCGTTCTAACCCGAGTCGTCATGGCGAGGGGTGGGCAGGGGGTGACTCCTGGGAGTTGTATTTGAAGCGTCAAGTCCCTTTCTGCCCTCGCAGCTTGCTCCGCTCGCTCCGCGCCTGACGGTCAGTGAGGAGCCCCGTGGCCACTCAGCAGCTCTGCCACGTGGCGTGCTCTGCATCCCGCTGGAGCCACCCTGTAGCCAGCACGGCCTTTTCCGCACTGTCAGCACAGCTCGGGATGAGAACGCGAGGCCGGAGGCTCGTAAGGATCACGAGCAAAGGTGACCCCCAATTCGGGCCTCCCGTTTTCGCGCCGGAGCTGCTCCGGATTGTGTTCAGCTCGAGTTCTCTTGGATCGTTTCTGCCCCACGCAGATGTTGTCCAGTACTCGTCCTGAAGCAGGAGTTATTCTGGATCAAGCGGTCCAAGAGCTTTCCCACGTCACAGTTGGGGACGCCAAGCAGGGCCTTACCCGGGCCATGTCAATCCCAGGCAATTCGGTTGTTACTCTTCTCTCCCTGCTTTCTAGATGCCGCCGCCTCCGCCCTTGTTTAAGCATCAGATGCGGATAACGCTGATTGATTTTGAACGGGCTCAAAAGGGGGATCATATAGCGAACGTCACGATCCATGTCCGGCGCTGCCTGAGCTCAAGGTGGCGCTACCCGCTTTGCTTGCCTCGCGCCTGCGAGGCGCAATCGAACCTGAGTGTCGGATAAAAAAGCCACATTCACCGATGGTCCACCATATCATCCCATGTCTTATCTCTTACCGGTCGTCCTGTTTGCCATCAAGGGAGAGGCCATGGGATACTTCGATACGTCTACGACGTGATCTTAAGAGACAGGGTTCATCTTACTATATCATGGAGTCCCGGACCCTTGCTTTTCACTTGTTAGCGGCGTTGGCCTCATCTTTATGTGGCTGGCTCTTACATCAGTGGCTATGTACATCACAACGTACCACGGCACAGTGGAATATTCGACTGCGCCGCCGACTATTAGCGACTACATCCCCAATGCCTTTCAACCAATTGGTAAGTTGTTGTCCTAATCCTCCATCTCCTCACTGCGTGGCAACACGCCGCGCACATATTAAGCCCCCACATCCATCCGCAAACCGACGGCTACGTCAGACCAACCACCCAGTCGTAACCCCACGGGTACGACAAACGCCAATGAGACAAACCGTGACGTCATCAACTACACCATGACCAGGCATTATGTCAAGGTTACCATCACTGGAATTATATGGGTGTGCTTGGGTCTGGCCGTGAGATACTGGCGAGGAGGGGGGCTGGATGACGAACACACTCGGGGCCCGATCTGGGGCCCTGCAGGCAATGTAACTTTTCCGGGAGTTCGTTCACGAATTACACGCCTGGCTCAATGTCGCGAGCGGAAGCATGACACCACCCCGGCAGGCCTCGGCGTTACAGTGCGGTCTTGGGGGCTTAGCCAGGACACTGGCCATGAGGGTGCCATCTACCATCATTAACTACGGCGTAACTTTACAGGGTAAACGAACCGGTGGAGTCACATATATCATATACTTCCTGAGCACGAAATTTGAAAATCTCGAATATGATCGACAGCTCACTTCGGGAACAGGCCTCATCGACTAGGGTCGAGAAAAGCGAATGCATCGACTCAGTGTTGGCCCGATGTGTATTAACCAGGCTGGAAGCCGATTCCGCGGGCTTCAACATGCAAATTTTCCAGATCCTGACGTTCATACTATTCCGTGCTTTGGGAGTAGGTACCTCCCGAGCATCGCAACTACTACAACAATTCAGCCACCATATGCCCCGTACACCGCAACAGTGCGACCAACTTATGGAGCGCATGCGCAGCCGTGGGCACTTGGCTGAATGCGCCCCAGGTAACGTCCGAAGCATCTTCAGCGGCCGCAATGCTGGTATTTACCATGCAGTGGTAAGCGACACGCCGGCGGCCACGCCGATCAACATCTGGAACGAGGGGGAGCCCACAAGAGGCCAAGGAAACACAAGCCCCTTAGCCCTAACACTGGGTGGCCATTGGCTGCCAGCTATACACCGCCCGACGCGACCACCCTGTGGGGTTCGTCCAACCAACGAGAGGACGAATCCTTTGACTCGGGCACAGGTGCCGAGACGTGCTCATCAACTGGCACTGAATACCTTGATTGGTCAGATCTACCCGTTGGCGATGAAGCAGCGGCACAGTATTTGTACCTAGGCTATCATTTAGCCAAGAGAAGGTAGAGACGGCACAACAGAAAAACAGTGTAGGAGATTTAGGCGAGTGGTGCGTCGTGCTTCCTTTCGTAAGGGTAAGGGCAGTGGAAAACGTGGTAGGCGCACCCGTAGTTTGCATGGAAAGGAAGTAGCCACGTTCTTTGCCATATGAGACGGTTAATTATGAGTTTGAGGACCTCTTCCTTGGTGAAAATTGTAGGCACACCACTGGCAAAGGAGAACAAGGCCGTAAGTTGAACCCCGTGGACACAAACGGCCAACGTGCGACATGCAACGCATGTGGGAGCGATAGACACGTTCACGCACAGCGTCCGAAGGGACATCGGACGGGGGATAGAATTGAGCACCAGCAAGAGTACGTACTGGAATACGTTGACTTTCTCGGACGAGACCATCCCCCTCCAGTGCAATCTGCAACTACCAGGTTCCTGATGGCAGTACGCCGAGGCGGCCATGGCGAATGAACGCTACACCGAGTGCTTGTACGACGGCATCGAGGAGGCCTACGACACGCCTTGCGAGGACTGGGTTGGCTTGCGTTGGCACGTTCACGTTCGTGACGACTCGGACGACCATGACGATGATAACCACGACGATGATCCGAAGCAGATACCGTACATGCCACTGAAGCTGGGCTACTGGAGCACCAGCGCAGACACGGGCAGGGAGGTCTGCACTGGTCTCCAGCTCCGACGATCTTTGGTGTCGCGGAGGAGGAACGGGCCGCCGTGGGTTGGGGCTCAACAAACGCCAGCATTTGCATGCTGCGGGGTCGCTCTGGCCAGGATCCTATCGGGCCAGGCGGTCCCGATAGAAGGCTGCAAAGGCTGTAGCCGCCGTGGCCGCAGCACCACGGCGGATCCTCCTGGGAAATCAAGCCCGGACGCGGGCGGTGACGGTCGAGGCCGCAGCGACTCACGCGCTGCAGGCCCTTCGCCGGGAAAAGGCCGTGCCCGATCTGCTGGCCCTTCGTACGGGGCAGGCTCCACAAATGGAGCTGGGGAACGAGTTATTATTCCTTTGCCTACGACGAACAAATCCCACGCATGGAGATAGCCGATGAGGATATCGAAATGTCTAGACACGGGTCACAGTGAGCGAGACATTCGCCATTGGTGGTCACTTCAGAGTTTTCTTCGTGGTGAACATGGGCGCATCATCGAGACGTCGCAGCGCCGAGGTACAAATCGTGAAGCAATGCGCCAGTATATGCGAGACCTTATCAACTCCCGCGAGGACTATTGCATGGGTGGTTGTCCACACTGCAGCACACAATGTGGCAAATACCTTATGGATCGGCCATCGCGCAGCCCTCATCACCAAGAGACCCCGTGGCACCCTGACTACGGCAATGGCCCTGAGTACCTGTCCCTGACCGACAACCGACACCGATGTTTACGACATCGAGGTCAATTGGAGGGCGCCTCCCGACGACCACATCCTCAAGATCTACAATCAGAATTGGCATCGTACACATCCAGATGAGCCGTGCGAGGACATGAGCGACTCCAGTGTCCCTCGCCAGCGGCAGCTGAACACGACGGGGCAGGCCGTCGGCAGCTCCAGCGCCGTCCCTCCCAAATCCCCCCCGCCGTTCGGGTAAGAATAGGGAGTATCGAGTATGGAGTGGCGGAGGCTGGAGGAAGGGTGAGGCGGTGGAGGACGCATGAGGATTGTGGAAAACGTTAGACTCTTCATATTCCTCCTTGTCTTTTCCTTGTCGTCTTCCCTCCTCCTCCTCCTCCTCCTCCGCCTCCTCCTCCTCCTCGTCCTCCTCTCCTCCATCTTCTCCTCCTCCTTTTCCCCCTTTGCCCTAACCCCCTTGGAGCCATCCTCTGAAGTTCGAGCTGCGCTCTCATTATTACACCCCTATTTGTTATTGAATCGCTTAGCTCACTGCGCCGGCCCATATTGTCGCATTGTTGGCGGCCTCTACGGAGCCTTTTCGGGAGAGTTGTAGGGTTTCTTAGGGCCTCTTGTGGCCCAAGGGCAGGGTTTCTTGGGGCCCCTTGTGGCGGGGGGGTAGAAATCACTTGTGGGTTGTGTCGATGCGTGCCGATGCTCTTTGGGGCCGTTCTGGAGTCTTCTTGGGATCGTCTGTGGCCGACTTGGGACGATGCTGGAGACAGGTGCGGCAGCCTGTCAATGTTGGGAAGCGGAGAAAGTGAGAACGCTGAAATTAATGAAAAGCGTAAGGGGAATCAAACAAGATTGTTTCGGGGTGCTCTCTGGAGAGTGCTTTGGCAGGGATCGGGACCATGCAGCGGCAGCCTGAGGCCTGTCAGTGTTTGGACGTGGATGAAGTGAGAACGTTGAAGTCAATGAAAAGCTGAAGGGCAATCACACTAAATTGTTTCAGGTGAACCTCTGGGGAGCGCTCTGGCAGGGTTCGGGACCATGCAGCCTCATCTCTGCAGTTTGCCCAAGGGCTCGGTGTCAATGCGGCGCTATTGGAATCTCTCGATCTCTCGGCAGGCGCCTGGGGAGCCTCTTGGAGGCATTTTTGAAGCCTCTTGAGGCGTCTTGGGGCCGTTTGGGGGTTCTTGGGGTTCCATTCTGGGCTTCTTGGGAACTTCTTGGAGGCTTCTTAGGAACCCGCTCGCTCAGAGGCGTCCTTGGAGCTGAAATCTCGAAATGTCATTTGAAGTCCCCTCTCTTGGGGCCGTTTTGGGGGATCCTGGGCTTGGGGCGTTTTGGGGCTCTCTTGGGCTGTCTTGATGCTCTGTTGGGCTTACCTTGGAGGCCTTTTGGGCCCTCTTGGGACGATCTTGGGGGAGCTTGGGCAATCTTGGACGCTGTGGAACACCAACAATGGTATTTGCGAAGAAAGTACGTTTTCTGAAGGGAATGGCGCAGTTTTTGCTTCTGGGGACCTTCTTGGAGGCCCTCTTGAGAGGGGCTTCTTGGCGGCCTCTAGGGCTGTCTCAGGGCTACGTATGGCGTCTTGGAACGATATCTCCGCGACTCGGAGCTCTCGTGGACCGTTTTCGGGGGCGTCTCGGGGCCCTGTTGGCGCGCTCCCAGGACCTGCCGGGGACCTGCCCGGGGGTTGGTCGGGGGTTGGTCGGGGTTCTTTTCGTCTGGGGGCCCCCCCAGAGCCGCCCCGCGGGCGCGAACTAGAACTATGGCTATACTGTTAACCAGTGACCGGAGATCTCAGCACGCCTGGCCCGTTGGGCCGGTGAAATTTCATTATTACACCCGTCGCATTCTT